CCAGTGGCCCTGCCTCGCGCGGCGAAGGAGCCAGAGCGAGAAGGAGGCTGAGGCAAAATGGAGAAGGTGAAGGTCTGATTTCCGCGCCACGACCTCGATCAAGAAGCAAGCAGAAATGGATCAAGAGCCCGGCAGCTTCGTTTTACGGCAACGGCCGTGAATCTGGCAGCCCTGCTCCGCTGAGCAACTCAGCAAGGGCTTCGCATCGCAGGCATGCGGTCTCAGGCGGACCTTTTGGAATCTGCTGCTAGGCCAACGCCCCGCGAGAGAAACGGCCACGAGCTTGAAGGACTCCCTGCGAGGCTCCCGGCGCCCCGCCCCGAGATTCCTTCGGGCCAGGAGAACGAGGCGCCTCCAACTTTCAAGCGGTCCAAGCCTGCTGTCCACGTCGCCCTGGAGAAGGAGCTAGACATTCCTAAGCGACCTGCGAGCGCCGACGTTGGTAGCGGCCGTCCTGCTGCCTCTCCAGAGAGGAAGCCCCTGGCTGCGCTGGGCGGAAATACACCTCATCGTCCAGCACCTCCGCCTCCTCCACCCAAGATGACCGTCCTCCAGGCTGCCACAACGTCCGCTGGTGCGGCAACTACATCACATGGCAAGCAGAGGCGCAATATCCTCCGTGTCAATGGCAAGTCGTACACGCGGCTCGACTGTGTGGGACGAGGTGGCAGCGCCAAGGTGTACCGCGTCACTGCGGAGAACGGTGCTATTTTCGCTCTGAAGCGTGTTTCTTTGGAGCAGGCGGACGAGATGGCCATCCGAGGCTTCAAGGGCGAGATCGATCTTCTCAACAAGCTCAAGCCTGTTGATCGAGTCATCAGCCTCTTCGACTACGAGATGAACGACGAGAAAAGGTCGTTGACTTTGGTAAGCGAGCTTTCTGTCATCTATACCTAACGCAGTACTGACGTTTGCAGCTCATGGAATACGGCGAGCTAGATCTCAATTCTCTTCTGAGAAGTCGACAGAATCCCGAGACCGCCAGGTTCGATCCAGTCTTTGTCCGATATTACTGGAAAGAGATGCTCGAGTGTCTCCTAGCGGTTCACCAATACGATGTCGTACATTCAGATCTGAAGCCGGCGAACTTCGTCCTCGTCAAGGGCTGCCTGAAACTTATCGACTTTGGTATCGCCAACGCCATCCAAACTGATGAAACGGTCAACGTCCACCGCGAAACCCAGATCGGAACGCCAAACTACATGTCGCCAGAGTCTTTGATGGACTTCAACGCTTCTCATGGCGGACGTGCTGCTGGCCGACCCAAATTGATGAAGCTCGGAAAGCCCAGCGATGTTTGGTCTCTGGGTTGCATTCTTTACCAGCTAGTTTACGGCATACCTCCATTCGGTCATATCGCGAACCACCTATCGCGCTGCCAGGCCATCATTGATTGGGACCACGCCATCGAGTTTCCCAGCCGTGCTGTGGGTGGTGTTCTTGTTCCCCCATCACTCCTCCGTACAATGAAGCGGTGCCTCAACCGTGAAGTTCATCTGCGCCCAACATGCGAAGAACTTCTGCATGAGACGGATCCTTTTTTGTATCCGGTCGAGCTTCACGACAAGGCACTCCCGATCGACGAGGAACTGCTTGGTAGAATCATTCAGAGCGTTGTCACAAGGTGCCGCGAGCGCATGCCCACCGAGGCAGAAGCCAGGTCCGTCTGGCCAGGGGCCTATTGGCAAAGTGTCAAGAAGGCGACCGACAATAGCAGCAAGTCATGACACGAATTGACGCACAAGGTGGTTTAATGTTGGATACGTGTCAGCAGAAATCAGGGGTGGTTGGCAGATTCAGGCGTTGCACTCTTCTCTTTCATTTATTCTTTCACGAAGCCTGATGGATGTTCATAGCTATTGGTGTTTTGGGGGGACCTGGATCCCAGCTCGACCGGTTTCGTCGGGCGTGGGCAGTGTCCGGAGTTGGTTTTCCTGTTACAAACAGCCGGATTCCCAGAGGCCATACTGCCTCGAGTTATTGCAGATTGTCAATTCAGAACTGGCGTTGTCGCCTAGCTTTGCTTGGCTAAATTCGAATACCCAACATCTTTCGAGCGATACATCATTGACGGTGGGGAATCCCTGTCATTTATTGAAAATCTTGCGTTGTTTTTGCTATGATACATCCAGCTCAGGCTGCAGAGTAATACACGATGCACCCCCTTTCTCATGCACGATGAGTATCTTACACAGTCTCTCTCTCCGCCTCACCCCCTTCGGTTCGCTATGTGCGCGAAATACAGCACTTGGTCCTCGAACCTGCTGGACGGCTCCATCCGGCAGAGGGTTTCGGACCCGCGGCTCTCTGCTCAGCCCTCAATCTCCTCGAGCCCCTTGATCCTCAGCTCGCTAACGGCGAGCGTCGTGAAGCGGTGCTGGCTCCTGACGCGCTGGGCGCGCCTCGTGCGCTGCTTCTTCTTGATCTTGATGCGGACGGGCTCGAGTTCCGACCCTGTGACGACGGCGCGACACTCGAAGAGGCGCTCGTCAATGTAGGGGCTGCCCTTGAGGGTGAAGTCGCGGCTGCCGATGACGGAGGCGCAGTCGAGGCGGAGGACGTCGCCGGGGACGACTCCCGGCATGCGGAAGGGGAGGCGAATGGCGTCGCCGGGCTGCACGAGGTAGGGGCGGCCGTGGATGTGGAAGGTGATGTAGTGCGAGGGCTGGGCGGCGAGAAGCGGAAGGAGCTGGCGGACCGAGTCGGTAATGGGAGCGGGCTGGGTGGCGGGAGCCTGCTTGGGGTAGAGGGCGAGAGGGTCGGCCTTGGCGGCCTGCTGGGCTATTGTCGTGGCGGCCTGGGAGGGAATGGCATCCTGTGTCGGCTCGATGATGGGCGTTGTGGTGTTGAAGGCGCGGGCGCGGATCGGGAGGAGAAAGGTCGGCGGGAGGCGGGTAAAGGGTGCCCGGAGCTCCAATACGGAGCGCAGAAGTGCCCTACTCATGACTGTGGGTGGTGCGGCTGGGCGAAATGGACGGGTTGCGCGTCCAATTGCTTCAAGATGCCGAGAGTTCACGCGACTGTCGTGAAGTCCTAGAAAACTTTCGATGCTGGAGGTCCAACAGGAGACTCTCCACTTTAATTCGTAGCCCAGATAAGGTACCCAAGGTACCCACCACGAAACATTCGAAGTCACGTGATACATCACAGCCAGACTCTTTGTGATGATGAGCAGATGACGGGGTTATACTCCGGGTGCGTGAGATGGAACGAGTATGCTTTAATCTTCTGCATGATCATTCAAGGTGAGAGTTTTCAAATTGGGTTTACTGTACAACTTCCTTGCCGTTTGCCAATTTATCACCTCATGTTTAACTCGGCCAATTTGTCATTGTCATTAGATCTGAAAAAGGTGTTCTTACTCACAGCCTCCGTTTAGTATATTTGTGAACTCCTTCAAATATAGGCCATGTGCCAATGTCAAAAACCTTGAAGCCAAGGCTTTGATGCAAATTACTCAACCGATGGTCTAAAGGATCCACTGGGCTGAAGGCATAATATATGGTGGCACAACGTCCACAACAACATTTGGCTTGAGTTTAAACCCTCAAGTCTGCTGGCATTGCTCCGGGCCAGGGTCGTCGGTCTCTTGCTAGATGGTGGGGCCGACCTGAACGCAGAGGTTGAAGCCGGATACACATTTTTGCATGTGGCCACGCTTACAGGCTTCGAGACGGATGTTCCGCTGTTGCTCCAAAGAGGAACGGGCGCAAGGTTAGAGATCCAGTCGATTCCAGGAAGGCAATATGAGGTATCGTGGCCATGATAAAAGCAAGAGAATGTAAATGAAAGTGACAAGGTGGCAATAAGTGCCGTGAATCGCGTGTTTGCTGTAGCCTCGAACAACCTACTGCTGTGATGAAGTACAACCCAACTCAAATAAGCCCTGACTCACCAAGGTCGATAGCATATGACGCAAGAGCAACAAACAGAATTTTCTCATTGCATGGGTTGCTGAAAGGACTCTAGGTTCTGAAAGTGGCCAAGATAAGCTCCATTCGAAGTTCAATTTGCTACTCGCATCACTGTTCTTTTTCTGGCTCCAAAGCTTCTGGCTTCAAACCATACATTTTGACTGGGAACAGCTTCTCTGCATTGGCTGGATTCATTCCCTTTTGAATCTCAACCTTGACGATACGCAATCCCGCCTGCTTGAATAGTTTTCGGAATTTGGCATCGCCCCTTTCCTTGATTAGCTACGGTTATCGAGTCTAGCATGCGAACGTACCGTGTAACACCACCGTCCTCATCATCATATATGTCCTGTCCGCTTGTACTGATGTTTTCTTTGATAACAATCAATCCGTCAGGACTCTTCAGTGCTGATTTACAATGTCCGAGGTGCTCCAAGACTTCTTCATCTGTAAGGTATCCAAGACACCATTGGATCCAGACGAGGCCATAGGAAACGAGTGGATCTGGCCGCCATGCGCTCATACTGATATTCTGAATCGAACGAATGCCTGGTTTTCCGTGCAACGCGAGGGTAAATTTAGGAATTGGTTCGATGATGTCAACCTCTTTGGCCACGTGGAGAAGTAGACCCTCGGTAACCCTGCCGATCCTGTGAGGAGGTTCAGCAAATTCCCGAGGTATTGAACCCTTTGCTTAGATCTGCTGCACTCACCCTGCGCCTCCTTCAAGCGCATTTTCCACGATCTGCCGGCCATTTTTTTCTCCAATTCCCAACTTGGCCAAAAAGCTCCGGGATCCATGTAGATCAACCTTATTAATATTGGCATGGCCCTTCCACTTTGGAACCCCACCAAGCATGCCACAATCGTCAGCGCTAACATCGCCCCAATACTTCAAAGCTAGGTCGTAGTCGACAGAACCGTGGCTTGTGGGAGCCGAGCTCTCTGTTGCTTGTGGTGGGACCATGTTGCTGTTGCTCATGCAATAGAGGTTGATGAACTGGCTGGGAGGGTTGTGAGTGAGCAAAATTCAACAGTGCTTGGTGAACCGCCCCAGTTTCTGGCTTCACCCAGACGCCATGGTACGTCAAGCCTTGGTGCGCTGGGCTGCGTACTGCCTGCCCGGGTGCCTCCAATTTTCTCCACAAACGTAGGTAGATGCTCGCCCATTTGCCGAAGATTTTCCGAACAGCTACGCAACCCTTCCCCTCCTACTTTCTTCCTCAAGGGGGGATTAGTGATGAAGGAAGGCTTCGCGACGGAAAGGGAAGTCCTCTCAATGGACAGGGCTCAGAATCCGAGGTCATTCTGAGACCATAAGTTGCAGGACGGCCTTCTTCCGAGAACAGTCGCGAGGGGATTATAAATGTCCGCATCGAGACCAGAGCGCCAGTGGGAGTGCTATTTGAGTCATGAATATCCTCCGAGAAGTACACGACAAGCGGAATGAGTTCGTGCAGCAGAACGCCACCGACATCAAGCAAAGCACGGTAAATGTGAGAGCCGCAAACGCTGCCGCCAATTAGGCACTGTAAGCAACCAAGGTAACTCTCCAGGACAATAGTGCAAGTTTGATATATGCGGGCTGGCTTTGGGTCGCTAAGCACTTCGAGGGGCCAAGGAACAGGTTCGAGAGTCATCACTCAGTATCTATCTAGGAGATCTGACCTGAGTGGCAGCGCACTATGCAGTGGATCTTTGTCGGGAAAGTACTACACATTGACCATTGACCGACAAACCTACGAGGTTTACCCTGTTTGATTCGCAGACCATATTTCGGGTCTTAACACACACGTTCCATTTCCGGCCGGTCCATGACTGCGGGGCCTCAAGGGTACCGCTGACAGAGGCGACAGCAGATACGGGACCACACCCCGATAAATGCTGGTCGGAGTAGACTTCATTCATGTCAACGCTGTCGCAATCATCGTTACCGCCGCGAGTCCATCGCATGCCTGTTCTCGGGGATGCCGGTCCATATGTCCAGCGCCAAGAATAGTGACTTGGACGTGTCAGGTAACGACTGCGCTTCGGAGGACATGACGAACTTGCTCCACAGTAATACTCGACCAAATCAGCATCGATAGCCATGTCAACCTCGGCCTTGTGCAGTCGCGACTGAAAGAGCTCGTTCTCAAAGTCTGGCGGCCAGGAAGTCCGCGGCGAAGACCCCTCTAGCTTGGCATGCAGCAGAGCTCTGGACCCTAGGACAGGTCGAGGAACTTTCGCTCTTGGGTAGCATTCCTACACATCCGGGCCGCTATTTTGCTTGGCAGCTTGTGCGGCGCAGTTGCGCAACTCCGCAACGAAAATACAGCTTCCCGTGAGTAAGCCGTGCTGGAGCGACTAGGGACCCGTTCTAGGACGTTCGGACGAACCAGTGGTGTGTATTGGTGAGTGGGCGACAGCTGATGGGAACTCTGATCAGGCAGCTCGTGTCGTCGAGCGATGTGCGGGTATTGACCAGTAGCGAACAAGCATTCCAATTGTGTTGTTACCCTGATCGGCCGCTCGCTGAGTTGTGGCCAGTTCGGTCGAAGGAAGCGGATGACTTGCCCAGCCTGATGCAACCTCGATGAGGGGTTCGGCCAACGGGAGTTGATCCATCAATGATCTTGCTTCAACCGTTAGATCAGGTCCTCCCGCTGTGCATCTACGCCATGCAGGGTAAATACCGTCTTACGTGGGGGTTGCCTATGAGCTCGCGCATCTGGCGAGCTGAGATCCACCGGACGGAGGCAAAGTCCCTGAGGCAATCAGATCGACTTGCTGGAGCTTTCGCCGAAGGCCTCCTCACCGGTCTCTGTGCTCATAAGGCTTTAAGCAATCATTTGGGGCATACTATTGTGCAAGGATCTTTTGAGGCACATTGCCCTACCTGAGGCCCCTCAGGCTCAGGTTCGGGCTGAGGTCATGAATGCACTGCGACGAATTTGGAAGATGAAGCCGTCGTCAAGCTGTCAGCATCAGCGCATACGAAATGAGTGCAGGTACATAGGTTTGATGAGAAGTTTGAGGAACCTCAAGTGTCGCAGGCACCTCGGGTAAGTACTTTGCGTCTCTGGAGCTTCGATGACACAACTCACTGACAACACCATTTCAAGTACATTCGCGTCCTGGCTCCTTGCTGTCACTATGTTGAACAACTGCGCTGGAATATGCAATATTTTGACCCAGCATGACGTTGTACGCCCTTCCTTGCTGGCATCTCTGTATCAAAGGATCCTGTAGACGCGTCTCAATTCTTTCAGCGACATGAGACGCATGCAACCTCCCTGTACAGTGCAGCGATCCTTCTTTACCACCTTCCCCCCAAGAGCCCTAGGCAGAACACCAGATCTGTAGAGAGCTCCATCATCCGGAGTTGCCACCGGCCCAAAGCCGCCGCACCAAGTCCAAGAACGGGTCGATGTGGGATGGCACCTGCCCGGTGGACCACATAGCTTCACCCGCTCCATTCACGTCAGGGAGGCAACTTACGATGCAAGTCAGAATTGCCTGTCTCTGAGGAGCCAGGCTTCCATGTTGCATCGTGATATCTTGGCATGTATTCCTACGACGAGTTGCTGAGAGCAGTTGCCCAAAGACCAGAGAAGAACTAGGGCTAATGAATGCTGATCAGTTCCGCAACAAGCAATTCAGGGTTACAGTATTGGCAAAGCTTGTCAAAGTGGAGAGAAAGCAGGATGTGTTGCTTATGCATCGTCAGCTGCCTCACTACCTACCTTAGGTACCTAGGTATGTTGACAAGGTAGGTCAGGACAGAGGCGAGATGAGCACTTCACGAAGGCGAGCCTGGTGCATCAGGAGACGGAAAGTCCGGCATCTCAGGGCAAAGGGGGTTCTTGCGAATGCGAGAAATCTGTCTATAAAAGGGGCGACATCCAACCTGAAGTTCTCTCCAATTCATCAACAGCCTCAGCAACAATTCCTCAAGACACTCTTCCATCAACTTCAAACCTCGCCAGCTTCTTAAGCAACACGTCAAGATGCACTTCACCACTGTTCTTTCTACCCTCGGCCTCATGGCCAGCATTGCTCTCGCAGCCCCCAAGGCTCCCATTCTGGCGGCCCGCGATGAGGATGTTGACTTCACTGTCTACAAGGACGATGCTGGCAACGTTGAGTCCTTCGTCAACGCTACCGCGCTCGGCGTCGACATCTTTGAGCCCATTCCCGATGATGGTGTCGTCCTCAAGGACCGCATCGTCGCCGAGCCGGGCACCAAGGCCTGGGCCTGGATCCGTGCCCAGATCGACATCAACTGGGACGAGGTGACCGAAGAGCAGCTGCAGAAGCGCCAGGGCTGGGCCAACATTGGCATCGGCATGTGGGCCCAGGACAACTGTACGTTAAATTCTTCCGAGAAGTGATGGGACAACTTATTGACATGCGGGATGATAGGCCAGGGCCAGGCCTCCTACTTCGACAACGTCCAGTACAACGTTCACCACTACGGCACGATCAACCACTACAGCTTCGGTATCCGCTACCGTGGCCTGCGCAACGGAGAGCAGCTCGACGTCAGCCGCCTGAACGGTGGTGACTGGTGCGGAACCTACGTCGCTACCATTGCCCGCAACTCTGGCAGTAAGTCTACCCCACATAGTTTGCAATTGCACGCTTCTAAACTGATCTTCTTTTAGCTGGCTGCGGTCACGTCGGCCCCATCAACTGCTTCCGTCTGTGGCTGAACTAGCGTGATGATCTTTGGAAGAGGGTCATTCGAGGCTTCAGAAGCTTACTCAAAAGAGATCAGAGAGACTTTCAAGTCCTCAAGCTAACTCACACAATTCTTGTCACTCGTTCGCTTTCTTAGGCCACCTCGCCATCCCATTTAAGACAGGTAGCAGCTCAGTTTACACACAATAAAAATGATGCATCAAACAAATACAAAATCGACAAGGATACCAAGCCGTGGATGGTCGGATAGAAAAATGTCTCTGACCCTAACCTTCTGCTGTTTCCGTGTCCCTTCTAAGCCTTCTAAGCCTCCTTTTTCAGAGTACTTGACAAATGACCTCTGACACATGGGAATTATGTAGTTCCACATGTACTCCATTCTGCTCGCCGCCCAAGGACACACGGGGTTTCACGGTGGCCAAATCATCCATGTTTGTTGAAGTGTTAGAACCTCATATCTGCCAGTCGTCTCATTTCTCCCTTCATCTCCCGTGTAATCATCCAAGATCAATGTCACTGCTCGTCATTGAAAGTCACCCTCTCTTCGCGGCAGGGATATATGGATGCCTGCCGGATCGACCTTGGAGAGACACTTTTGCGCCGCCGAAAGAAAAAAGAAAAACGGTTCTGTCACGTAGGCTCCAAATTTCATGGTGCGTTTCCATGTTCCGAAACCACTTTGTGTTTGCGATGCTGATGCTCAGTCGAGGATATCGTATGTATGCTATGACTTGACAGCTGCCGCCCGAAGGAACGTCGCGATGGGCGAGGACAAAGAGGGATGTTGATTAGGTAATGCAGTTGCCGATTCGAGGCCAGACCCGTGGTTGTGTGGGCCATCGGAATTTCACCGGCCCGCCCGCGAAATCTTGGCGGTGAATTTTTGAGGTGGGCCCCTCTATCGGTCGGTATCGCGACCCGCCACTTTCTCCAGGCATCGCATCTTCCTCCCAACCCAAGGGAAACCCGATCAACTCGAAGCATCTGAAGCCGCTCGTTAGCGCCAATCCGTCAAGATGCCTCAGAACGAGTGTAAGTCCCAGCAGCCCACGATTCCGTTTCCCTCGCCAAGAACCCTGCTGACCATGCACCCCCTGCAGACATGGAGGCAAGTTTTCTTCACCCCGCGGATCGACCGCCGACCGATGCAAGGAAAGACAATCACGGACCAGACGACTAACGTGCTGTTTTTTTCCCGACATAACAGAGGTGGAGGAAGCTGCATGGACGCAGGCTCGACCACGAGGAGAGGACCCGCAAGAAGCTCGCGCGTGAGGGCCACAAGCAGAGCAAGGATGCGCAGAACCTGCGTGGCCTCAAGGCCAAGCTGAGGGCCGAAGACAGGCGCAAGGAGAAGATCCAGATGCGCAAGAAGATCAAGGCCCACGAGGAGCGCGATGTCAAGACGACCAACGACGAGGAGCCCAGCGAGCCCATGCCCGCGTACCTGCTCGACCGCAAGAAGTGGGTTTTGCTCCCTTTCTCTCGATCCTTCGCCTTCAGGTTTTCCAGAGGGTTTTCCAGAGGGCGGCAGAGTGGCAGAGGAGCGACGTTGCTGACTGACGTGGTTGATGTAGCCCCAACATGGCCAAGGCTATCTCTTCGCAGATCAAGAACAAGCGTGCCGAGAAGAGCGCGAGGGTACGTTCTGGCGTTTGGCGGATGGTCTTGGAGTGCGATGCAGGACTAACGAGAGGGGATAGTTTGCCGTGCCGTTACCGAAGGTGCGCGGTATTGCTGGTAAGCTCATCCCGGTTGTTTGGTATTGTCGGGGAAGCGCGGCTGACACGGACGACAGAGGAGGAGATGTTCAAGGTTGTGTCCACCGGCAAGAAGACGCACCAGAAGTCGTGGAAGCGCATGATCACCAAGCCTACGTTTGTCGGTGAGAACTTCACGCGTCGCGACCCCAAGCACGAGCGGTTCATCCGGCCGATGGGTCTCCGTTACAAGAAGGCCCACGTCACGCACCGCGAGCTTGGCGTTACGGCTCTCCTGCCCATCATCTCCGTCAAGGTAGGCAATGTAGTGGCAACCACGTCGAGGGTTGCGGGGGGGCGTATCGTTGAGGCCAATGCTTACACGGGACGTGCAGAAAAACCCCAACAGCCCGATGTACACCAACCTTGGTGTGCTGACCAAGGGTACGATTATCGAGATCAACGTCAGCGAGCTCGGCATGACGACGGCCGGCGGCAAGGTCGTCTGGGGCCGGTACGTGACTTTCTGGTCTCGCCTGCACGGCGACGGTACTGACGTGAAGGTGTAGCTACGCGCAGGTCATGAACACGCCCGAGAACGACGGCTGCGTCAACGCGGTGCTCCTCACTTGAGCTGTCGCGTCGCGGGGCGTGGTGCGGCGAAGCAGGCATTGGACACAAGCAGGGCAAATTGAACAGGTGGACGCAGACGGCTACGTGGGGCGCATTCGCTGGCGTTTTTGGAGTTTTGGAGGTCTCGAGTACAACTACGGGGGCCCGTCCTGCTGAACGATAGACAACAGGAGAGGGACATTTGAGCACTCCTGCGATGCGCACTCTTGCGATGCGCACTCTTGCGATGCGCACTCTTGCGATGAAGCGATTGAGGTTCTCGGATTGAGGTTCTCGGCATGGGCGCTGTGGCTCGAGCTGAGGCTGCGGAAAGGGGGAAGATGGAGACGCCTTCACATGAGACGGGGCGAGATGTCATAAGTAAGGTAGCGAGCAAAGTGACTTGGCAATACCCACGTGAAAGTTCAGCATGTGTTGAAGTGCGACGTCCCTGCCGTCACGTCCCTAACCAGGCTGCCAGGCATGACCAGGGGCCAGTGAGGCTGGTGGATCGAGCCCCCGGGGTACAGCGGGCTCCGGGGGCTCAGGGTGCCTAGGTACCACGCAAGGTACTTAAAGGTAGGTAGGTACCTATAGGTAGGTAGGTACAATGGGGCAGAAAGCCATCACATGTCAGGTCGCCCCCCCTAGCCAACCCATCCCTCAGGCTGGTAGGTCCCTAAGCCACCTTGCCTAGTACAGGACAGACCCCCCCCGGGCGTCATCCGCTTCTGAGGTGGGGTGCAAAGGCCGGGGTAACTAGGACGTGCCCCCTCCCCCTACAGTCGCGCCCGCATCTGCCTGCCACTTGCCACTGGCCGATGCCGAAAGCCGTCAGACCAACATCCGAGGCACGATTGACGAGGGACCCAGGACGACGGCCATCGTTTTCCCCGACCTTGCGCCTGCGCGTCGCGCCGTTTCCACGGCCTGCTCCATTCATCTCCTCCTCCCAAGCAGGACAGGACAGCACAGAACATCACTCGCCATCGCCTCTACCCTTCGACACGAGCATTGCAGTGATTGCTCTCCCCTCTCGACGACCCCAAGCGACCCAGCCCACCAGGTACCGGTAACCCTACCTGCGAGACCACTTTTCCCAAGGCTCGCATCATGGAAGCTGTCAACGGCCTCAAGGTATGCCCGTCCCCTTCGAAAAGGAACCACCTCCCAAGGATCTTCTCGTCTGACTGAACAATTCCTGCCCAGGCGCCCTCGAGCGAATCGTCCTCGACCCTCGCTACCATGACATTCTCGCCGTCCTCAAAGGGCGCCCGCAACGGGCCCGTCTACGGCCCCAAAGTCCGCCTCCCCCCACGCCCTCGTGTATGATGTCGCCTTGCCGTCCCATCCCGCCTCTTCCTCACGTGTGATGCTAAACGTCCGTGTGCCTCCGGACAGCCATGATCTTCCTCTTCCGCTCCGGACCCTCCGCGAGAAGGCCGGGCCTCGTGTTCCGCGCCACGCGCACCCCACGCCCCGCAACCTCGCCAAGTTCGCCACCATCTACAAGCTCACCATGCTCCTCCTCAAGCACTACGGCCCGACGCCGGGCAAGGAGGGCCCCCACGACGCGCTCCTCGCCGGCGCCCTCGGCGGCTACCTCGTCTTCGGCGGCCGCGGCGCCCGCTCCGGCCGCATCCCCAGCGTTAACCAGCAGATTGTCGTCTACGTCTTCGCCCGCGTCGTCCTCGCCCTCGCGCGCCTCGCCGTCAAGCCCGGCGTCGGCCTGCCGCGCGTCAGCGAGCCCGCCGCCAGCGCCCGCATCAGCCACTACGCCTGGCCCGTCTTCGCCGAGCGGGAAGTGGGCCATGGCCTTGTACCCTTTTCCCGCTGCCCCCCCCGAGGAACCTTGCGGCCGAGCCTGGCCCAAGAACATGGACGTACTTTAAAAAGCAGGAGGGACGAATGGGGATTTTCTTTGGGGGAAATTTTTCCTTGGAAAAAACCAGGGAAAAAGGGGGGGGGGGGGGGTTTTGGCTTGGGGTTTTGGGGGGTTTTTTTTCCTTATCCCCTACCTTAACGGGGAAAAAAAGAGGGTTTTTTGGGAAAAAAACCCCGGGG